CAAGTAAGTGCCAACTTAGATTAAAATTTGTATAGTGTCTGAGTCCACCACATTGATTATCTAAAAGAATTAATGGGCCTTTCCGTTATGCAATATATTTTAAGCCTTCTCTATCTCCTAAAGTGAAAAAATATATATATTAATCCACATGTCAATTAAAATTTCAAACATTCAAGTGACGTGTCATGTAGTGTTTTGAATTTATAGATATATTTAAATCAATATATACGTTTCTCTATAAAATAAAACATTTTAAGTTATCCGTTTTTTATTCTACATCAACTATAGGCATATCCCTAAAAATTATACATAACTATTCGATGCGAAATTTTTTGGGTCAAGATTGGATGTGAATTTAATTGACGCAGTAGGGGCAGCTAAATAAATTTATTTTATTGGTTATTAAATTTCAATTTTTCATGAGATTTAACCAGACTTTAATCACCTCTATATAATTTTTTTGAATATGTTTCAACTCTATTTCAACTGTAAAATAAAAAAAAATAAAAACTACGGAAATTATTAAGTTCGTTATTTTCCACATCAATTAGAAATGCATTTTTTACCCTTAAAAACCTAAAGTTCAGCTTCTAAATAACCATAAACAATTCAAAGTTTAATGAAAGAAAAGAAAAGGAAGAAAACAAATACATAAGCAATTAGAATAAGAATGAATATATAGTACTAAATTTGAACCATATATGTCAAAATGTATTTGTTCTTGCACAGTAGTAGAAAAAGACGACACTTGAAGTGTGTGTGTTGGTTTTCATTTATTAAAAATTTATTTAGTAAAGATTCATTTGGCAAAAATCAATTTAGTGAAAAGTCAATTGTTATAATAAAATTTATATTTGATATATTTTTTTAAAAGTCAATTTGATACAGTAACAGTTATTTGAATTGTGATAGTGAAATGTATTTTTGAATGTACAATTATTAAAAAGAACATTAATTTATGATGATTTATAATTTTTTATTATATAAATATAATATATTTAAATATTTAAAAAATGTGATAAAGATTTTAAATAACCTAAAATTTGATTTATAATGCTAAAAAACTTAACCTCTAATTATTTTGTAATTTTTTAATTTGTAACTTTAAAAGATGTGAATAAAGATTTATAATTTTTTATATACATTAATTTTAAAAATTAACATAATTAATTATTCAATTAATAATGTTAAAAACTTGATACCTAATTATTATTATTGAAATGATAATTATATTTTTAATGAATTAACTATTTTTTAAATAAAAGAATAAGAGATAAACTTGAAAATAATATGATAACATAATATTATAAATTTTAAATTTATTTTTAAAAAGCTCCATTATTTGAAGTTGACCAAAAGCACATTCAGCAACCTTTAAAAAGAATTTTTTAAATAAACTTTTTAAAAAAAATTAAAAATTAAACAACATTTGACTTTTGAAAAGTAAAAAAAATACTTTCTGAATGTTAAAAGTTACAAACGAAACAGGCCCTAAGTATTCCTCTTCACATCAAGATTAATATGCGGATCTTTTAGTGGCTGCTGGCTATGACTTCCCATCGCTTCTGCTGTATTTAAATCCTGCTCGGTGGGCTCCTTTGGATAACAGTATTTGTGGAGCGTCCACAAATAATAAACATGAATTAGCTCAAGCTAATAATAGTAATAGTAACTTTAATAGAAATAAAAAGGATTATTAACATACCTTCCTCTCTGATTGAAATCTTTGAAGTAATCATGTTGAAGAGCATTAGCAGCTGAAATTCTTTTGCGCGGATCCAGGCAAAGCATTTTCTGTCATGCACAATAAAAGCACAGAAGATTACAAGATGTATAATAGTTTTCTTGCCCGCCTCAAGCACTTTCCTTCCACGTCACACTTCCTCGTTCTTATTAAATGCGAATAATTAATTTAGATATAAGAAGGAATTGAACTAATATAATATGAACGAAGGGGAAAAATGAACTTACGGAAGAAGATCAATGCCTTCTCGTTCAAAACCAAAGAACTTCATTGCCAGGTTCTACAGACGAGAGAATGCAAGGTTAAATAAAACCTAGTAGCTTTCGAGGGATCCGCAACACGACATCTAGTGAGCAAGCAAATCATACTTTGATAATCATACCATTATTCGTTCAAATTTGGGAAAGCATAAGAGTGTTCTGCGACTGCATACTCATCAGTCACTCTAGGCCAGGATTCCTCAGTTCGGGTACCTAACAGGCTTCATACATTGAAATTCCCATTGTTATTTTGATTAGCATTATTGAAGCAGATTTGGCTCATAAACATAATATACATGTGTTTTTCTAGTATATATAATGAACTTACCGAAAAATTGACTTCAATTGGTCCATTTGAGTTTTTCCCTGGAATACAGGTTTCCCAGTTATCATCTCTCCAAATATACAACCAACAGACCCACATATCAGCTGCCTTTGAATATCGACGTGATCTAACGGTAGTTCAGGACACTATACTGAGAAAGTTTTTATCTGTCAAGTCAAGAGACATTATACTGATTAAAGAGAGTACAATGATAGAGATACAAGATACTATACATAAGGTACCGTAAATGTTCAAACCATTATTTTAGGCATCATGTCATGCTTATATGCCCCTGACGTGAATCATGTATAATTCCATTTTGAGGTATTGTCTCCTGATTTTAGTTGCTAGCTTTTTCTTTCAAACCGATTGCAGAGACCATGGCAGTTTTAAATTAAAGATAACTGTAAGCTCCAATGAAAAACCGCGCCCTTAATAAGCAAAAATACAAAGAACGTCGTGTCAGTCTCGACTTTTCTTAAAGTGTTCACTGAAAATTAAGGAGCATATTATCATACAGGATAAGTTGTCCAAGGATCTCCAAATGAACCGGCGAAACCGATGTCGGCTAGCTTGATCTCCATATTGAACGTCATTTGCAGGTATTTTTGGTTTTATATCTCCGATCACAATCTCACTGTTCACGTCCCAAAAATAGAGGATGATCGGTACAGGGTACATGGTGGTGTGTGTATTAAAAGAAACCCTAGTTATAGTCGTGGAGCAACTAGCCATATTTTTTAGAATGAATTATACTAAATATCAATTACATCAAAAGAAGAACGTACATCAAGACTTCCATCACTCTCCACTCAGCATGCTTAAAAATTCTCAAGATCAGTATAAGGATCAGCTTCAGCTAAGGTATCTGAGACCAAAATATTTTTCAGTGAATAAAAGGAAAGTTTGAAATAATTATGTAAGTCAATAGACAACAATTTTCATAAAAATTTAATAAAATTTAAAATAAAATGATTCTATAAAATTTAAAAAAATCTTAAACCATTGAATTATCATAACAAATATTTTTATCACTTGATTTTTAGAAAGCAAATAAATGAAATAAATGGTTGTAAATAATTTACTAGATAAAAACTAATGGAATATAAAATCACCAAATAATAAATTCACAAATTTTTTAGGACTTATTAGAACAATAAACAAACACGAACACACAGTTCCACAAGGATAAATAACCGAACGTGACTTATTGCCACGAATACAAACGTGAGCACACAGTCTATGAGGGTAAGTAATCAAATGCAGCTGAAGCCACAAAACAAGTGTGGACACACAGTCCACGAGGGTCATGCTGATCAAACGCGGCTTAGAGCCATGAAACAAACGTGAGTGCTAAGCTCACAAATAACCATCCCTCCGTTCCACGTGCGTTGGCCATCACACGGGTCTAGCACCTCCTATGAACATCCTACTAGTTAGGTGTACCATGGTGTGCCAAGGGCTAACGGAACTGCCGTTACAACCAGTGTTTAATATAAAGTCTTTTTTTTTAAATCATTTTCAAACATGCGAGAAAATCATCACTTTCAAGATACAGTTCTCATTCTCAAAATCAAACTCACAGAATACTTTAAGCATTAAACTTGTCAGAATAAAATTCATATCCAATGCTCATGCTTGTATTTATCAAATAATCAAAAAAATTTTGAAGTCGAACTCGCAAGAATCATTCTCTGTATCAATCCAATATTTTGATAAAATAAAAATCTCATAATTAAAGTCCAAACTTGATTTAATTGATCAAATAACATTTCAAATTTGGTAAAGCTAATTTCTTAAAATAAAGCAATGTTAATCAACAAATATCCAATAATCGCATTAATGCTATTAAAATGATTTCAAAAAAAAAAGTAATATTTTAATAAAGGAAATTTTAATTGAAAAAAAATCAATTGGGACGCTATCCACTTACCTGAATGTTTTCCAAGAATTCTAAAACTTGCTTCTCTTAAGTTTTGATCTCTATTCTAATAAAGCTCTTAAGGTCCTGACAAATGAGTCAAAATTCTAAAATCATTCATCAAATAATCTTACAAGCACTTAATGGGTATCAACATTCAATCTATCTGATACTAACAACACTATAATCAATTACATTTCAAGTACACTTGAGTTAGTCAAATTATTTGACAACTCTCAATTTATCCCCGTACTCCCTTATGACCCTAGTCAATCATAATTCACTATAAATTATATCAATCATTCTTAAACTCTCTCTAAACTAAAAAAAAAAATAAAAAAAGCATCCTATATAATCATTTTTCCTTACTTTAGTAGTTTTTAAAATTTTCAATTAATAACTTAAACTAAAACTTACATTTACTCCTTTAATTAAGTTATAATATAAAAGACTAACAAACTATAATTCACCAAATTCTTCTCTTATACCTTTTTACAATTACCTTGAAGGCATGCATTTATTATTGATAAAATTATGAAATAAATAATCAAGAAATTTCAACAACTTCTAATCTTCAATTTATTTTTATTTATTATAATTATCTTTCAACTCAACATAATTGAAAGATTTCTAGCCCTTAACCGAAAGCAACACTTCAATCCTAGTTGAAGGTAAAACACACCAAGAGAAGGAACCGGACCACATCAAGCAGTTAGGGAAAGGAAGGGATTTTTTCATGGCTGTTGTTGCACTCAAAGAGGGAGAAGAGAGGATTAATGATTTGCCTTAACCTTAGGTGTAGTGATGACAACTTAGAACCATCATGTATTCAATGCTAAAAAGGAAAGAGAAAAACGAAATGCTCTGTTTTGCAGCTCGGATGATAAGGAAGAAGACCAACTATCGTGGCCAAGAAAGCAAAGGATTTGAGCTTACATATACATACGCAAGACACTCAGTACTTGAGAAACAATAATAGGTGAAGCTAAACACGCACACGTACATACACACGGAAGCCAACCTGAACAGAAGCAATAATGGCAGCAAAGAAGGAACAAAGAAGAGCTTCAGGTTTCGACACGCACAAGAAGGAAGGAGACCAAAATCCAACCGGAAAACAACATCCTCGATCTACCATACACACACGCGCACACGAACTTTTTGACAGCTAAGGAAGAAGGAAAAAAACATTGAGCATGCAAACACACACTTTCATCCGCAATAAACAGAGCAAAAATGGGAAGAGATTGTCAGCTACTTCACACGACGGAGATGAACAAATCATTGAGAGCACATAATGAACGAACAGCCGATGATAGGGAAAGAGAAGCAGCAGCTCGGCTTCACTGTGGCGAGAAAACAAGAGCGACGAGAACGACAGCAGATAAGCAACAGTAGAAACGCGAATTCACCGCTGACAGCGAGCAAATAATGTGTAAGGTTTAGAGAGATGAACCGACTATATGAGGATCTAGAGAGGTGTATGATGGCGGTGAGAAAAAAAATCGAGATGCTCTGTTTTTTTTTTTGTGTAAAAAAACTGATTCAGACCAAAAAGAAGCAATGGAAAAAATTACAAAAAGAGCACCAAAAAAAATACAATAAGAAGCACAAAAAAAAATTTACAAGAAAGAGCACAAGATTTTTCTATAATTTTAAAACTAAATTTTTACTCAGAAAAATTTAAGCTTTAGATTTTCAGAAAAATTTTTATCATGAGTTTCTCTCTAAACTACCAATTCTACTTATTATAAAATTTATTTAAATAATATATTTATTGAAAGAATTTTTTTTAATTTAAAATTGAGGGTCGTTACATTTACATGTATGATAATGTGCTACAGCAGAGAGTAATTGATACAAAATCCGCTGCTCAATCAATCACCAAACACGATCAGTATGTACAAAGATATTTATATCTGATGTAGAAGTATGTTATAGAAAAAGAGGCAAGACGGACTTTGTACACGTAGCTCATTCGAACAGAGTTCACATGCTCTCTGAACAGCTTTACACGGATTGCGAGTTTTCTGCAGAAGTTTCTTCGACGGGCTACAGTCTAACGATGTGTTTTTTTTGGGATCTTCTGTGTATATTTGTTATGTCTTAATGTCATGTTCTCTGTACGGTATCGAATCTCTTCGTCATGTTTTCTCATCTACCTTCTGTGTTCTTAATAAAATTTCCTTTTCCATCAAAAAATAATTTTTACAAAAAAGTTACAACTTAAAAATTTTAAATCGAAATAAAATTAATTTTAAATGCCTCAAATCTGGTCATTAAAACCCATCCAACTTTAAATGTACTAATACCGATTTTACACATGCTTTTTTTTTTTTTCAAAATGAAAATGAAAACAAACAACGGCAGAAGATTCTATTAAATTATGACTAACTTCTTGCCATGAGAGAATATTTCCAAATAATGATTTTATCTACAAAGTCACAGAAAGATCTCTGTTTTTCTTTTTGACCAGACATCTCAGAAAAATTAACTTACTCTTGTCAGTGGAACTCTAACATGCTTTGGTTGCTCGATGATATAGGACAGTGGGAAAACACTCATAAACAATAAGCAATTCCCCATGGTGATTGTATACGGCATCCTGATACAAAAAACAACTTGCATTAATTCATCAAATGCTTGCTGATAGTTAAAAAAGCTAACACACAGATTATCAAGGTAACCGAGAGATATACATAACGCCATTTTACTCAGAATCACTTTACATTCAAACGTTGATAGATTGAATTGAAATACCCATAAAGAATATCAAGACTGATCTAAGACCAACCTAGCAACGTTTTCGATGGTTAGCAACCGATGAAAAGCAATTTTGCACTTATCGATCGCCGAAATTCTTTCATTATCCCCATTATGACAATCTGCTTGATGGCTACCAATATTCGTTCGTTATCACGTCGATAGCAACGATAAACCTTGTTGAACGCACAATCTCGTGACCTCACCAATAATCTTGTAGTCCTCTAATTTGGGCGGCGGCGGTTCATAGCACCAAGGGTACCAAATTCCGCATCTGATCAACCTGTGTTGTGTGTAAAATTAACATCAGCAGATTCATATTACGTTAAAGATAATTAGAACAGTTAAAAATATATACTGTCCGAATCAGTAAGATTGAGAGTACAGTTTATAAAATCCAAATGCAGATTTAAATTCCACTGAGTGGAATCTAAACAGTTCTAGTTTTACACGGTTCAAAGGCATGAACAGAGAACAAGACAATTCGATAGCAGTGATCGACCGGAATACCGGAATGTAAACATATTCGTCAACAAGATTTATCAGAAAATTCTTTCCCTAGACAACGATCTTAATCCCAATCCCAAATTCCAAACTCAAATAGTCAATCACTTCAGGCGTTTAGGATACTCACACACTTCGCAGAAATGTTTGAATTTTGAAGGAATTCACTCGTTGTGAGAAAAGAGCAGAGAGAGAAACCGACCATATTGTGAGAACTGAGAAGATACTTAGAGGGAGATTCAATCAAACTTGGAAGAAATCGCTCATATATATATGCATATATATCGTAAGAAGAGGGCGAGCGACAGGGTGCAATTCAGAAGGAACGCTTGAGAGATGTAACATAACAGTATTTCCCCCCGCCAAAACTTACTAATCTGCAGCGTTGCAGCCATAATTATTCAATTA